GAATCGTCTTTTCTTTTTATTTGTTAACTTTCGAATACAATTTTATTAACTCAAAACATTAATTTTCTTTAATGGCACTTTTAGCTAGATATGGTAGGGAAAAGTTTAAGCCACCTTTATGGGATAGAATTTATCTCATGGCCGCTGAAATCGTGTTTAAATTTATGTTCTATCTTCATACAAAGTTCATACATACATTTGATTTAAACTTTTGATTAAATTAAAATGTATTTATTCTAAATTAGTAAGAAAAAAAAGAAGCAAAATAATTCAATGTGAATAACTGGTCATTATTTTGACCACACAAAGTTCAAAGGGTAGAAGTTATTTAGAAGAATTTGTAATAAATCATACAAACGACTACAGAGTTTTTAATTAGGCTTACACGTCTTGATCTTGTCATTTCCGGATTTTTTATTTCTCACAGCCATCAATCCGTACTGTAGAAGGATTTGTCCGGAACTTTACAAACCGATATGCGGAAGTGACGGCAAGACCTACGACAATAAATGCTTGCTGAGTAAAGAAAACTGCGGCCGGGGCTTCAAGGAGCTAATCACCGTCAAGTACAATTCCAAATGCAAGAAAAGCGATCAATGTATCAAAGCCTGCTTTAAAGATCTCCAGCCCGTCTGTGGAACAGACAAGAAGACGTACGCCAGCGAGTGCGCCTTGCAGAACGAGAACTGCCTCAAGGAAACAAAAGACAAGGTGGACGTCGACTACTATGCAGCTTGCGGGACGTGTGACGATTTAGTGTGCCCGTTAAATATCCTTCCAGTGTGCGGCAGCGACGGAAAAACATACGGAAACGAATGCGGTCTCGGCGCACACAACTGCGGAAAGCCAGACTACGAAAAAGTGTCTGTCGTGCGAGAGGGTAAATGTGAGAGCACCAAATGCAAGAAAGTGTGTAAAAAAAAGCTCGATCCTGTCTGCGGGAGCGATGGTGAGACCTACAAAAACAAATGTCTTCTGGAAAACCGGAATTGCGAGAAGCAGAAAGGCCCGAAGGTATCTATCAAGCACAAAGGCGAGTGCCGAAAATGACCACAGCGTAAAAAATACCAGTCAATAAATTGTTAATTTAAACAATAAAAAAAATCTTACAATCCTGAAAAATTTCTTTTTACGCCATTTTTTAAATCACTTGAACATAATAGATGCCCTATGGAGGTCAAAGCTAAATATTGAAGTCGATGCGAGCATGCAAACTTCACTGCTAGTTACCTTGACAAATAAAAAGCCCCTGTGCGCACTTCTCTCTCTCTCTCTCTCTGTCTCTCATTCGCTCTCACTATCTCTGTCTGTTTGCAGCATTTTTTGAGGCTATGTGATAAGTATATTCAGCGATATATAGAATAATTTATATGATTAAAGATTCGGACGTTTGTTAAAAATAATATGGTTTATGTTTTAAATATATAAACTAACTTTTATTTATAGAAAAAAAAAATAAAGCAGTATTCCAATGTAGAAATACATTTTAAATTATGCAATCGGAAAAGTGTTTACGGTTGTGACAAGAACGCAAACAAAACAATAACGTCACACTTAACATGTTTAAACTAGGCAAATAACAACAAAAAACTAATGACGTCATCTTTTAATTTTAGAATATTAAAACAAACTATTTAATTCAAATTTGATTTAGATCTAGATTCTACCACTTATCAAGACGTAGCCTAAGCTATAAAATGTCTACACTTTTCTCGGTCATACGAATACAAATTAAAATCGTTATAAACTCTATTTAATTTTCTTGTTTGAATTAGGCTTGTCTCGTAGCCACGTTGCTAAATCGATGTTCTATTTTTAGATACTGCGATGAACAAAATAGATAATTTACTCTTAAGGAAATGGTCTTATGGGATGGAGGGTGTGGGGTGAGGGGGAGGTTAATGAGAATCGACTTTTAGTCACATAATTATGGGATAGCAGCCTCTGTGTTTAATCATCGAAATTTAACTCAAGTTGAAAGGTTAAGCTTGAGTCATTTAGATCAAGATTTCCTCAAGGCTCTCAACAATCTTCCACGTGAAACTATAGGCCTATTTCTTTCGAAAGACAAAGGGCAGGGCCTGAGTTGTTCTATTAACTTAAGGCTTAATATTGCACTTAATATTGCACCTAATATTGCACTTAAGATTGCACTTAAGATTGCACTTATATTGTACTTAATATTGCACTAATATTGCGCTTAATATTGCACTTAATATTGCACTTAAAATTGCACTTAATATTGCACTTAATATTGCACCTAATATTGCACTTAATATTACACTCAATATTGCACTTAATATTGCACTTAATATTGCACTTAATATTGCACTTAATATTGCACTTAATATTGCACTTAATATTGCACTTAATATTGCATTTAATATTGCACTTAATATTGCACATAATATTGCACTTAATATTGCACCTAATATTGCATTTAATATTGCATTTAATATTGCACTTAATATTGCACTTAATATTGCACTTAATATTGCACTTAATATTGCACTTAATATTGCACTTAATATTGCACTTAATATTGCACTTAATATTGCACTTAATATTGCACTTAATATTGCACTTAATATTGCATTTAATATTGCACTTTATATCGCATTGAATATTGCAATTTATTTACATATTAAGTTTAGTTTGTACTGTTCCTTTTTTTAAACGCAAACGCAGATCGTCAAACTTTCTGAGACTTTCTCCGCCCCTCCCCTCACCCCTCAGTACTCACCGTCACAAAAAATTCACCCCTCCCCCCCCCCCCCCCCCCACACGGCTATAGTGATAAAGCAAGACTATTTTATGGATCTTGTTCATCCTGGTACTTTAGCAGTGTTTCTTCCAGACTTTTTTCTCCGGGGGTCACTTAATATTTTCGGGGGGGGGGGGGGGGCGGTCAACATTTTTTCAGGGAGGGGGGGGGTGCGGACACTAATAAAAATGTATGTTTACTATATAAATTCCATCTCGTTCGGGGGGAGGGGGGCGGTAGACATTCTTTGTGTGGGGGGGGGTGCTGAGCCACCCGATGTGATGCCTGCAAGAAACTGTACTTTAACAATAGAATAAAAAACTGTATTGGAGGTAGATGGTGCAATACAAACTATAAAATTTTATTATTTTTTTATTCACTGGTCACGGGGTAAGTTGTCAGCCATCTGCCCAGATCTGCGTTGATCTGCCGGAATATGCCTAGATCTGCCTTTAATCAAAAAACTTTATAATTATAATACAATTATAATAAGAAAGTAAACTAAACAAAAACCATGGTCGTTTGCAAAAACACCGCTTAATTTTATTGTTTTCCATGTGGGATTTTTAAAAGTAGCTCTCTTTATCATTAGAATGTTTTTAATTCAACAATTTTCTTCATAAGAGGGTACTGTATAAAACGTGTACTTAAGGAAATGTAAAATAAAAATAGGCATAAAATAAAAATAGGCATAAAGAAGTAAATCTAAATATGCATTTATAATATTAAAACGATATATTGTAATGCATTGAATGATTGTTCAATACGTTAAGTCATATGGAAGTATAGCTGTTCCTTTGCATTTAATGTTAACTTGTATTACATATTTCCCATTACGATAAAAAAACAACAAGGAATACAAGTACCTGCTAAATTTCCAAACGTTTTCGGAGTGGTTTGGTAGTATAAAATACAAAGATAATCCGTGCTTTTTAATGGTTAATGTTTAATGTTTAGAAAATGTTAAATAAAATTTGAATATAAGATGTGATCCAATATTTATTTTTTGTAACTAATTTAATTTTAATTTGATAAACATTTAAAATTAAAAACCTTTTAAATTTGTATATACACATTTTAATCAGCAGTGAAAAAAAATGTAAACAATGTTAATTCGTTGAGCCTTTAGAACTGTTAAAAAATCTACCAAAAAAAAATAATTATTACTATTTTAAATGTCAAAGCTTTGGCAGGACTGTTTTAGATATTGATGTTTGAAAGGAAAGAATGTTTGATTTGATGTCTCGTTGTACTCAACATAACATTTGTTTAAAATTTATATAATTTTATTTTTCATTAATCTCAAATTTATTTTACCTCTACTTAAAAGCCCAAACACCATCAGTCAACCACGCCGGTAGGGGTCGGCGTGGTCGAGTCGGTAAAGCTCATGGTTGCTAAACCGAAAAGTCTCGAGTTGGAACCCTCGGGCAGATGAGGCTCGATAACTGGGGACAGCAACTCTTCTAGGAGAGAAAACTCCAAAATCAAACAACTGCTGACTTGTAGTTTGTTCTTGGTTGGACAAAGGCTATGGAAGCAAATCCAAAAAGAAAAGCAGGCTACATGGAAGAAAGAAGTATTACTAATGTAAATTTGTATGTCCTCACATGTTTGAGGCAAAAAAAAGGGGGGGGGGAAAATGTTAACTGCCTTTAATAATAACGATAGTTGAGATTTTTTTACGAATTGATCTTATCTTGAAGCAATTATCCCGATTTCCCAAACTCTTGTTTCCATTGAAGTAATGAAAAGACAACAATAAAATGATCATATCTTAAATGAATTTATTGCACTTAAAAATTGAAAAACAATATCAAAGCAGAAGCTGACTGTATACTGCACAACAGTAATAAATTACAATGTAGCATTTCAAAGTTACAGTTTGCTATATATTACAAAGTATTCTGAAACTCGGAAACTTCATTAAATTTAATTAAAGCGTAATTAATCTGGTTTGCAGAGACTGATGAGATTTAACTTGACAACTTAATCGAAAACACATTAATAATTAATCCATTTCCCTTTCGAAGGCATATGTTGAGTAATTCTGTGGACGGAATAATCTGCTTTCCTATTGGTTTTATTTAACAACATATATCAGTCTACCCAGACAAACTGTATTTGACGTAATGCTAACACACATAAATAACGGCAACAATAGCCAAAACATTTCTATAACATAATCTACAGTTGAAAGAAGAGTAGCCACAATAAAAACAACAGTGTTGTTAATAAATCACCATCTAAACACCCAAACCATTTTAGAACACAATGCTATTATAATATCATCTTGAAACTATCAGCACATACCCATTCAGAATGGAAATAGCCTACCTGTATTATCTTTTCTGTTATCTTAAATTTTAAGTATAAACTTACAAATTCGCCTCAAGCAAAAACCAGCACTCCCACCCCCCCCCCTCCCCCCACATGTCATAAAAGAACACAGAATCAGCAAAATATTGAGCAGCATTTTATACTGGCAAATCTGATTGTATCAATAGTCAGCTTTCTATAGTCTCCCCATTACGTTGGTGCAAGTGCTCTAACAACGCTTCCATGCGTGTCATAAATCAATAAAACTTTCAAAAAAATCTAGCACGGCTATATATACTAAATGTAAGTAGGCCTACACAATACATGTAAAGTGTTTTATAAAATAGCTGTTTGGCTAATATCAAATGTTCACATATTAACAAGAGCAATGTATACACATATAAAATAGATGTCCTAATCAGATTCAGAATAAGTATTTAGTCAGTGAATAGAACAGGAAATTTTGCTGCTATAATATAATGAATTTTACAAGAAATGGCAACTGAAATAGCAGCGACCATTGAAAGTAACAGAACATTGCACATGGTATTACCATGGTGCATATCTTGTCCTTTTTGTGCCCAAGAAGCATAGGGCCGCCGCAGAAAGCCCCCTCCACTTTAGTCGGTCACCGAATATTTTCCTGGCAGTGGCAGTCCCCCATTACACTCTGCCAGCTGCTTCCCCCCCCCCCCCCATGTGCTTCCTGATCTCCTTTGGCTTCCCCTGCTTTCTTTTTTCCTTGAGACGTTCAGTTTCTATACGTGTGTGTGATATGTGTTTGTCGTGTGATCTTGTAGCAAAGATACGTTTTATTTATTCCCATTTGATGCAGCTATAGTCCAGATTATACCTTGCTTATTCCGATATTATGCCACTGTAGTTGCCCAGAAAATACCTTGTTTATTCCCATTTGATTCCGCTTTAGTTATTCAGAAAAAAAAACCTTGTTTACTCCCATTTGATGCCGCTATAGTTACCCAGAAAATACCTTGTTTATTCCCATTTGACGCCGTGTACCCAGAAAATACCTTGTTTATTCCCATTTGACGCTGTGTACCCAGAAAATACCTTGTTTATTCCCATTTGACGCCGCTATAGTTACCCAGAAAATACCTTGTTTATTCCCATTTGACGCCGTGTACCCAGAAAATACCTTGTTTATTCCCATTTGACGCCGTGTACCCAGAAAATACCTTGTTTATTCCCATTTGACGCCGCTATAGTTACCCAGAAAATACCTTGTTTATTCCCATTTGACGCCGCTATAGTTACCCAGAAAATACCTTGTTTATTCCCATTTGACGCCGCTATAGTTACCCAGAAAATACCTTGTTTATTCCCATTTGACGCCGTGTACCCAGAAAATACCTTGTTTATTCCCATTTGACGCCGTGTACCCAGAAAATATCTTGTTTATTCCCATTTGACGCCGTGTACCCAGAAAATACCTTGTTTATTCCCATTTGACGCCGTGTACCCAGAAAATACCTTGTTTATTCCCATTTGACGCCGTGTACCCAGAAAATACATTGTTTATTCCCATTTGACGCCGTGTACCCAGAAAATACCTTGTTTATTCCCATTTGATGCCGCTGTAGTTGCCTAGCGCCCCCGCCCCGCTGTGGGAGTGGTTGTACCACAGCTCCTTGCCCAGGATGTACACGGGGGCGCCGCTAGACCCCGGGCACGTACACGTGTTGTAGATGTACTTGGTGTCGGCCATTTCCGGTCCGAAACTCGTGGTCTCCAGTCTCTCCTGCCAGGTCCCGATACTGACCCGCTTGCTGCAGCCATGGGGGTGGGACACGATCGCAGCCAGGCGGTGGACGTTTCTGGAATCTTTGTACTTGACACTAACCTGCCGGTCAAGATTATAGTACTCGTATACGCTTTTATGAAGACTTACCGCGAAATCTGAATCGTGGGTTACGCAGAGGAGAGAGCATGTGTCTTTTTCGATATCCGGAACAGGTTCTAGTTTTAGACATTCCAACACGATACTTTGACTGGAGTCAGAGTCGAAGCTAAAGTGGCATTTGGAGAGTTTGGCTTCCGAGGAGTCGAACACAACGTGAGTGGCAGTGGCTACGGAAATCAACCAGTACTTCCGGTTGGGTATGCTGGAAGATTTGCACAAGGAACACGGGCAGTTGTTGAATTTCATGGCAACGTGAAACACCCGGCCACTTCCGGTTCTTCGAAGCGTGTTATTCCCCTTGTGGGTAAAATACGGGTAAAAGATCCCCGCGTCCTTTATAATGTCAGGTCTATGCTCGCTGATATAGTTCACTTCGATCTTTACAGTGAGACTTGACAACGCTTGAATTACTTGAAAAATCAGCGGGTCTCTAATGGGCAAGTGATCCAAGTTAAACTCGCTCATGGTTATGAAGTTCGTGTGGCCAGGATTTTTCTGACAGGTGTTCCATTTGTATTTACAACAGCCAGACTCAGTGGGGTCGTAGAGTTCCGTCTCACACGGACCTAAGGAGGCGATACATAAATGTTAACACTATGTATTTAGTGAGATAGGTTTGTTTAGACTCGCTTTTATTCCATTCAAATATTATACAACACACTTCTAAGTACCTCATTTTGTCACTCGTCAATATATTCCCTTGTCATACCCTACACGCTATCTACCTACACATTACCCAGTTATACCCTACACACTATTTACCTACACATTACCCAGTTATACCCTGCACGCTATCTACTTACACATTACCCAGTTATACCCTACACGCTATTTACCTACACATTACCCAGTTATACCCTACACGCTATTTATCTACACATTACCCAGTTATACCCTACACACTATCTACCTACACAATACCCAGTTATACCCTACACGCTATTTATCTACACATTACCCAGTTATACCCTACACACTATCTACCTACACAATACCCAGTTATACCCTACACGCTATTTATCTACACATTACCCAGTTATACCCTACACACTATCTACCTACACATTACCCAGTTATACCCTACACGCTATTTATCTACACATTACCCAGTTATACCCTACACACTATCTACCTACACAATACCCAGTTATACCCTACACGCTATTTATCTACACATTACCCAGTTATACCCTACACACTATCTACCTACACATTACCCAGTTATACCCTACACACTATCTACCTACACATTACCCAGTTATACCCTACACGCTATTTATCTACACATTACCCAGTTATACCCTACACACTATTTACCTACACATTACCCAGTTATACCCTACACACTATCTACCTACACATTACCCAGTTATACCCTACACGCTATCTACCTACTAAAGATTCACACTGACACATCGCTTTCAAACCCGTATTTGACCATCGGATAAAAATACATACACCCGGGTTTATCTCCACTCACAAGCACACTACACCTACGTTCTAGACTATTCTAACCTTACCTCCAAGTCACCAGTAACAAGATACTTATATGTAGCAATTTTATTTCATCATCTTTTCCCTTGATCCTAATTTAAGCTTCATCTTAATGGCTAAATGTAGTACTTAATTTTCAAGTTTGAACTTTGTTTTACTGACATTTGCAAACAACACCAACATTGTCAGATTCTATGCATGTAAATTTCTCATCATTATTTCGCACAAAGACTATAAATTTATCTACTTTGACACACTACACTACACTAAACAAGATTTAGGTTTAAATTAAGAAAACAATTTACTTACAAATTATAGGACGACGCCATGCTGGATTCCAAGACAAAGTTTCCTCAAAAGTCATTGTTAACTTTTACTCAATCAATCTGAGTTAAAGAAATGTGAACTACAATCTCAACAATACTTTAGGGTTGTATTCATCTACTTCTTCGTAATCCTGTGATCCCCAGTAGAAAATATTCCAACGCACTCTATTCTAGGCAGGTCTTCAGTTATGCCCATGTAAGTCTCACAGATTTAAATTTATTTTCTACAACATTTCTCAAGAACGCTCTAATATATATGAACAAATATGAACTCCTGTTTTAAGTAGCCTGTATCTTTACGAGTATTGCTTGTGTAGACTTCGTAGTAATTGTCACCGTTTGTTTCTGAGGCAATAATAACACTAGGGTCGCCAGGCACACAGAATTATAAACCTTGGATTTTCCATCAAGTCAGATCTATTTCTGATAAACGTGACTCATGTAAACAAAACACGTTGCTGATGTATGTTTTCAAGTAAATATTGTGTTTATCTTGACGACGATAGCATGGTATGTAGCATATTGACAACAGTAAGTACTTGGGTGTGTTTTTATTACAAAAGTCTGCGATCATTCCCAAAACTCAATAATATTTCAAATCAAGGGGGTGTAATCTAGGTAAAGTATGTGTTTGTTTACAGGGATAAATATAACCTTATCTGATATGTGTTTTACAGTGATAATTAGAATCTTATCTGATATGACGCATATAGTCCCTAGGGTTTCCCCAGCACGAGTGCCCTGAGTAGATCTGTATGTGTCAAGGTGTAGGTATAGATGCGATAACGCAGCTGGGTGTACATTGATTGAACAGGGTAAATATTTTTCAAAGGTTGAGGCCAAGGATATTGTTTAGAGAAAATTAATCACAATATATATATATATATATATATATATATATATATATATATATATATATATATATATATATACATATAGCCTATGTATATATATATATATATATATATATATATATATATATATACAGCCTATACATATATATTAAATCACGTTCTGATACAATAATTACGTCTAATAGTTAACATCTCAATCTGCGTGACCAACCTATTGCCACCTAACTATGATAAAACAAAAATAGTTATTGGCAAAGCTTGGCCAACACTCAAGTCTTACATAATAAAGAAAACGTGTGTTAAATTTCCGATAGGCATAACTTAGATTACAACAATCGGTAGGGCCTGATGCTGCACGCCATCAAGGTTGTTCAAAAACCAAAAAGCCTACCGTTTTCACAATTTCACATCGTCTCCTTAGTTCTTAATTTAATATCTTCACTCTCACTCGTGGTACTATTTGGACATTTGAGAGGGTAGAACAGTGTAGCACTATATTTTTTTCGGTTTAATTAGTGTGCTCTTCTATTTGTTAATAACACGTGAAATACATTTTAAAATATGTTTCACTTTACAGTTTGATACAAAGTTAAAATAAGTTGTTTCCGACTTGAAGTTTGTTTTTTAATTCAATTCTGCACATGCGGGGGTTAAGAATCCAGAGTTTCTTCCATGCTTCTCTTCAGGTTCGGGGGTGTGGGCTGGGGCTGGGGTGGAGGGGATGGAGAACAAAGTCTACTGTCTCTTCTCCCCCCCCCCCACTCAGAGTGAAATGAAATTTAGAAAATATACAATTTTCCCAGTGCCCGCGCCACCCATCCCCATTCTTTAGAAAATTCAGTCCGCTCTCCCCACCCCCCCTGAAAATATCAAAGGCCCCCCTACCCCGGAGAAAAAGTCTTAAAGAAACACTGTAAGAATCATATACATTTCCCTACATTTCTTTATATATATATATATATATATATATATATATATATATATATATATATATATATATATATATATATATATATATAAACAATACAATTAACATCAGTGACCCACCTCCCATTACATCACCCTCCACCCCTTCCCTACACACACACACACACAGACACACACATTACACATACGCACACAATACACCACCCGCAACCAAGCGTTTGCTTACTTCCTGATCCAGGTGTACTAACGTACACAGACGACACATCTGTCTAAACCACAGTCCAGTCTGCGTTGTACCTAAGTACAATGACGTCAACACTGACGTGGTAGGAATTATCACATGATTTATACCCGACGTAGATGAGATAGAAGTCAACAACAAACACGAAAGCTTCCTAGAACCATCACGTCACAAACCTCACGACCATCCCAACATTTTTACTCCAGATTTTTGTTCTCTCAGAATGCGGATACGATCTTACGGCTAATCAACGCACGATTGTAGGGTGTCGCACGCTTGTTGATAAAAATGAACCATACACAACTAGTTTTAAACCAGTTGGCCTACATAGCTATCTATTTTATCAGAACAACGCATGAAGTAGGCCTATCCGCCGTCAGTTAACAGTTTGCCAACATGGTTTCGCTGGTTCAGTTCTCCAGTACCTGATTCGCCGTCAATCACCGATTAGATTGGAGATTCGATTGTTTTTCTTCTCATATCTACATGGGGTTACCCATACTACTTAGGCCTACTATGTATGGGTGATTTTTTTGTTTTCTTAATTTGTTATGAACTTATTGCATACTCCATTCCATGATAATGATCGCAACAGACAACTTAAAAATGTGTATGACCTTTTGCAGTCACTAATAAATATTTTAATTCTAAATGACTATTTTTTTATGGGCATTTCAAGAGGGTCCTAGCACGTCCTCCCATTTTACAATGATCACATTTATATACAATGTATTTACAAAACTATAACCACTGTTCTGATGAACTGGCAGATATATCCATAAGCTTCCATGCTGCTCTTGGATTCAGCTCTTCCTGATCTCGACACAAAGCCCAAACAAACATGATGCGCAAAATTTTGTCAGGATCACCTTCAACAACTTTATTTTTAGCATTCTTAACAACCATGATTTGCTGAGCATTGAAGTTAATAACTAATACAGGACCTTGCTCCATTAATTTCCCAGCAATAACATCAGCCTGACTGATATCCAAAACTTTTGAGTCAAATCTATATCCAGCCTTTTTAGCTTGGTCAATAGGATGTGTCAGTGTATTGTAAGGGGCTTCGTAACACCAATCCCTCAGTATTTCCAATTCTCCCCTTACCATTGCTTCTAGAAAGTTAGGTGTAATTTCTCTTTCCCCCAGTCTTATACATTGTTCCTTATTAAAATTGGAATCTATTTTGCATATTTCAGTTAAAACTTCTGACATTTCTGTTTTTGTGAATACTCCTCCGAATATTTGTCCAACTTTACCTGTAAAGAATTTTGATGCTTTCGCTACAAATCTCATCATATTTAGCCTTTAAATCAAATAATTTGTTGATGTACTGGTTATTGTCTTTAAAATTTTGCCAATTCTATGAAAATGTAGAGTCTTTGTGTAAAACCATACCAGTTGGGTAGTGATCTGCCTAAACTTCATTGTCATCTCTTGGTTTCATAAACAGCTCTGATCTTTTTAATAATACATCTGGTGCTTTATAATGTCTAGCTCTGGATAAAGTAATTTCATCAAATTCTTGTTTAGCAGTTTTAACACCCTGGCTAATCTGTTTGAAGGCTTCACTCTAGCCACTAGCTTGACCAGATTTCTGTATGCTTTCTGCAGCTTTAGACAGTTTCAATTCCTTTTTTAACAAATTCCTTTTTTTTGAGCTTCTTCTACCGGTGCTGACACTTTCTCCTTCAACTCGCCCACAGTTTTACGTATTGCTGTTGAGTTTTTTTTAAGTCTCTTCCTCTATAGTTTCCTAGCTTGTTTCAGAGCCTCAGAATCCTCTAACTTTTGTGTTTCTGCCTTAAATTGTTCTATACTTTCCTTCATTTCTTAACTTTTTTTTTCATTTCTTAACATGTCATTAACAGTTTGAAGAAAGTTTTTGTTAGACATTTGTCTGGTCTGAGTAATGTTAATTTCATGTTGTCCCAACAAGCTGTGATTGTGGGGCAAAGCATCTTTATGTGGGCTAGATGTGTAATCTGTTTTGTAAGTGCGCTGGTCTCTATGTGGCCTAGATGTGTAATCTGTTTTGTAAGTGCGCTGGTCTCTATGTGGGCTAGATGTGTAATCTGTTTTGTAAGTGCATTGGTTTCTATGTGGCCTAGATGTGTAATCTGTTTTGTAAGTGCGCTGGTCTCTATGTGGCCTAGATGTGTAATCTGTTTTGTAAGTGCATTGGTTTCTATGTGGCCTAGATGTGTAATCTGTTTTGTAAGTGCGCTGGTCTCTATGTGGCCTAGATGTGTAATCTGTTTTGTAAGTGCGCTGGTCTCTATGTGGCCTAGATGTGTAATCTGTTTTGTAAGTGCGCTGGTCTCTATGTGGCCTAGATGTGTAATCTGTTTTGTAAGTGCGCTGGTTGATGACTCGACCTGATAATGAAAAACAGCCGCCCAAACGTGCCAAAAAGTCGATTGTAGCAGCATATGAGAAATATTTTTAAAAAAAATACTAGAAGTAGAAGTGCCAATTTCAAATAGTATAAACAAAGTTAATGAAGATAACGTATTCAAAAATACATTATTTAATTTAGCTAGTGCGTTTTGTTAACTAAACTAATCTGATATTAAATTTTAAAACGATAAATTTTAGACAATTGGTGTAGTGATTGATTAATATTTATGTTTAAAAGATAATTAATGCCGACTTGCAATGTAATCAATTACAATCAAATTTGAATTTGTGATATAAAAGATTGTGTAAAAATAATTGTAGGTTGGCTCCCCTGGTATGTTAAATAAATAAATGAGATTGTAATGACGCTTTTGAAGAGTTTTACCTCTTTACGCCCCGTCGTCACAAAAAAAAAAAATAGCCCCACCCTCTAAAATGACCTCAGAACTAATCCCACCAACCCTCTCAAAAATTGCATTTTTTTTTCTAATTCATTTTCATTACAAAAAAAGTCTTTCCGTTTAAAGCATTTCTTTTTTAAAATGCAAATGAGTGTTGTCAGACCTTCTAAAGACCCCCCCCCCCCTCTCAGCTCATGGCACATCGATTAAGTACGAACCCAAATTACTAAACCGATCAGTGCACACTGCTGCCAGATTAGCTTCAGCAAAATATACTTTACCCCAGTGGCGTAGCGAGGACCGCACCGGGTGACACCATTTAGGGGGTGACACCAAGGCAAAAAAAAATATACAAAGAAAAATGATAATTCCACTTAAGTTTGAGGAAGGGGTGGTACTAATCGAAAGTTTGAGCGGGGGTGCAAATCGAAAGTTTGAGCGGGGGGTGCAAATCGAAAATGTGACACCCGACCTCGCTACGCCACTGCTTTACCCATATCAAAGCCTTGTCTAAACACTTGGACAGTTTTGGAACTGCTACCATAAAGTAACAAAGATCACCCCTGTTGCGAGAAAGTTCTAGAACTTACAATAACAAAGATCATCACTGTAGTGAAAGTTCTAGATCCTACAATGACAAAAATCATCACTATGGTAGGAAAGATCTGCAAACATACAGTAACAAAGATCCTAATAGAAGTAAAATATATCATACAGTAACAAAGATCAACTCTTTGGTTATAAAGGTCTAAACGTACAAAGGTGGTATCAAAGATCTTAGTTATAAACAAAGATCTAACATAATAAATGGGAAACAAAAGATATAACAAGACAAACAATATACAAAAGATCTCACAAGAAAAATGGTAAACAAAATATCTAACAAGACAAAGGGTAAAAAAAAGTTCAACAACAAATGGTAAAAATTTTTTTTTTCTAAAATGAGAAATTGTGTACAAAATATCTCACAAGACAAAAGGTAAACAAAATATCTAACAAGACAAATGGTAGACAAAAGATCTATCAAGACATGGTAAACAAAAGATCAAACAAGACAAACAATAAACAGAAGATCTAACAAGACAAATGGTAAACAAAAGATCTAACATCACAAAAGGTAAACAAAAGATCTAACATCACAAAAGGTAAACAAAAGATCTAACATCACAAAAGGTAAACAAAAGATCTAACATCACAAAAGGTAAACAAAAGATCTAACATCACAAAAGGTAAACAAAAGATCTAACATCACAAAAGGTAAACAAAAGATCTAACATCACAAAAGGTAAACAAAAGATCTAACAACACAAAAGGTAAACAAAAGATCTAACATCACAAAAGGTAAACAAAAGATCTAACATCACAAAAGGTAAACAAAAGATCTAACAAGACAAAAAGTAAACAAAAGATCTAACATCACAAAAGGTAAACAAAAGATCTAACAAGACAAAAAGTAAACAAAAGATCTAACTTTGAAATAAACCAAGGTAAACACAACACAAAGTCCAACAGTGACACATGTATTGGTCAAGGAGAATTTTATTGCTACACATGGATGATCCAATGTTACAGTCTATTTACCACCTTGTCTCATGCAACACATTTCATTTCTCATACAACTTGATGTGCTTCATACATCCCAATTCATGTGCTTCATACATCCCAATTAATGTGCTTCATACATCCCAATTCATGTGCTTCATACATCCCAATTCATGTGCTTCATACATCCCAATTCATGTGCTTCATACATCCCAATTCACATACTTCATACATTCCAATTCATGTGCTTCATACACCCCAATTCATGTGCTTCATACATCCCAATTCATGTGCTTCATACATCCCAATTCATGTGCTTCATACATCCCAATTCATGTGCTTCATACATCCCAATTCACGTGCTTCATACATTCCAATTCATGTGATTTATACATCCCAATTCATGCGCTTCATACATTCCAATTCATGTTATTTATACATCCCAATTCATGTGCTTCATACATCTGAATTCACTTGCTTCATACATCCCAATTTATATTTATTATCTAATACAACTGAATAATACACATCTATATTGCAACACATTCAACCCAATACATTATCATGACATTATGTCTCATACAAATGAATAATACACATGCATATTACATCTCATACATCCCAATTCACATTCATTCACATCACATCAAATTGAATGCAAGAAATGTTTTAAATGTTTAACAGTTGTATAATAAAATATTGACATTACAAGATAAAGCAGGACAAACTACTATGGTCTTAGTTCAGGTAACCTTCAAATGAGAAAATAATGAATAAATCTTTAAAATAATGTAAACGTTTGATGTATGTAAACACACAGTAGTAAAGAAAACATCAAACAACTTGTAATAAGAGTAAAAATATGTTATAGATACAAAAAGTATGAAACAATTAATATACAGAAAGTCAAAGGGCTATTCTTAACATTATTATAATCTTAACTTAATAATTATAAAAAAATTAAACACTTACTAAATACATTGTTTCAATGTAAAGGTAGATTAAAATACTTATATCTACATTAAAAAAGTATAAACAATTCCAGTTTGACGTGGAAACAAAAATCTTTGGTAAATCTGACTCAGTATTTGAACACTTTGACTACATGGTGTGAAAGTGAAAGTACATGAACATGAAAAATTACTTCACATAAGCTGTGAAACAAATAAAGTAACATGATTACAAAAATTCAATTAGAATTTAAATGCAAAATAGAAAAAACATAAATAGAAAGAAGGAAAAACTTTGGTTCCAATAACATCAAATTAAAAAATGGTTCTAAAAATGTCAATGTATTTTATATATGTGAAATAGTGAGGTCCAGTATGGCAAGTCCTAATAACATCTCTTTGTCCACTCCACTCTGATCGGTACCTGGCTAAAGAATGGGAGAGGGTGGCTGGACACAGTAATGATAAAGTATCCAGTCCTATGCTACAGTCAGAGAAATAAACTCTATGCACAAGTTAAAAAATCATGAACAAAATATCCCTAGTTTTACATCTATTTTACTAGAACTACGAAAACATGAAATGGTGAACAGATTGATACACTACATTCTACCCTTATTTTTTTTTCCTAAACATTCTAAATATTGTTGTGTTTAGAGACTTTTTTTTTAAAAATTGGTTTCTCTCTCATGCTTCATTATGGGTGGAGTATTGTTTATTTATAATTAAAGAAAATCATTTCTCCATTTTATATGGTAAACAAAAGCTTGTATTATATAAAAAAAAATTATTATTTTATCATAACACTGCATTAGCCTCACCAGGTGTCTGTAACTTATCGCTCTTATCTATAGGGGTTAGGTGAGGAATAAGGTAGGTTTGCCATAGGGGTCTGTGGTGGTCTTGATTAACACATACTATTAATTAATGGGAACGCGAAGATTAATTTTTTAAACTGTAATCAATTGCAAGGATGCATGTTAGGATGTGTGTCACCTCCCCCCCCCTTCCCCGTCCTATAAATGTCCTTACATTTGGTGAGTGTCTTTCACTACTCACACTAATTCCAGAATGTGCACAGGTGGGTATGGCTTACAGATCAGCAGCCAGTGACCTAAAATCCTGGGGGTAGACTGGTTTTGGCATGAAAGCAGTGAGAGTAGTCTTTTTGGTGTAGTGGGGAAGGTAGCAATAGGTAGGTGACCTGAGATATTTTCCATGGGGGGGGGGGGGTAATTAGGGTAAAGGGGTAATGAGTTGTGGGTAAAAGGAGGTATAGGGCATGACTGGAATATCAAAGAGGAGGTCAGGGTGTAAAATTGTAACCATCCATAGATTTTATTTTAGAAATGTAAATGTTACAATTATAGCCTTAAAATGTAATAAAAAATTCAGCTGATTAATTGTTATAATTAAATCCCATTGAAAAACAAAGTCATGCGTTATACACTATCAGCCTAAAATAAATGACACCTAAAAAAAAGTCATTGTAAATAGCACTAAAAATAAAACATTAACAACAATATCTTGGCAACTGATGATGCTATTAATAGAACATCATTTACAGTTAAATTACATGGTTATGAAATGCCTATTTGATCTGTTAAACAAACAATATAGACGTTTTAAAGTCAAGTTTTGAACAAGCAAATCCTATAAATTTAATGTGATGTAGTTTTTACATTAAAATAAAACATGCTAACACCTAAGAGTGGTATGACAAATAGTAAACTAAAGGTCTACAGACTACAGATAAATCTGGAAAAAAGTAAAGTACAAAGTACACTTTACTGTTGACTAGTTGGGTTTGACTATTTTTGTTGACGTAGATAAAAACACATATTTTTTAAAGATTTGGCTATCAAACTGCCGTAAAAAAAAACATAAGCTTGAAAATAATTTAAAATTTTTTTAAATTTTTAAAATCAATGTTATAAAAGTTACAACTCGGAAAACTTGAAAATTATTAATTTAGCTAAAGGCTACAATTATATTTATTTTCATCAAGCCGAAGTTAGAACCTGAAGTTTTGCTTTCATAAGACAAACACTGGTTGGCTGTATAGGAACTACTTGATTGATGATCTGAAAATCCCACTTCATAGAAAACTCATAGTAATTTGTACTCAAAACATTGCCAATACAATTTGTAAATAAAATTAATTTTTTTAAACCAAATTACCTCGTTGAGCCATGATTGTTGTCATTTTGTGTGATAAAATGTGTAATCAACCGAATTCTTTTTTGCCTTTTTAAAATTGTGTTTAGTTACCAAAAATACCTAAATATATCAAGTACATCAAATTTTAAGTTAAGACAGCCAAAAATCAGAGTCGAGCTTTTATAACCATATTATTTTTAATAACATCGCACCAGGTTTTTAAAATATTGTATGCATCATTTTGAGATTATTCACGTCTGCGTTGACTACATTCAATGGGGCAAGAGAGTTACATTCCTTTTACATCTAGATCTAACAGTAGCACACCTTACAGAACACTTAAGTACTCTTTACAATCTTGCAAATTAACATGTTAGATGTGGATGTACAGATGTGGATTCCTACATGTGTTAGATGTGGATGTACAGATGTGGATTCCTACATGTGTTAGATGTGGATGTATAGGTTTGTGTGCTCAGTCGCATGTCCAGTTAACTCTACTTTTACCTAACTAGGGTTATGACAGCATCAGAGATGGGTGGATTAAAGAACTGGCCAGCAACTCTACTAAAGACAAAAATATACCAGCCAAACAGGAGCTCACATTTTAATTACCATATTTTTAATTACTACCAGTAGCAGTGAAACCATAATATAAGGGTTAAAAACTAGAATAAACCAAAACTAGGTACATAAAGAGAGATGTATACGACAATCTGATCTATAAACTGAGAAAGGAAATAAATTCAAATGCAAACAAACATGTTATAAATTGTATATAATGATAAAATGAAATGTAAAAAAAATATAAAATGGTTAATAAGATTAATCAGTTCGTTTACAATAATAGTGTCCATTTACAACAGACAGTAGCTCATAATCACAGGAAATGTATATTGATCATAAAGTTTGAAATGTTTTTTGGTATTTTGAAGAACAAAAAATACATATTTAACTTGTTTTGCAGGCAAGATTTTGGCTCTTGCTATTTTTGTCATGACTATTTTGAAATCAGCAATGTTTTATTGTTGTCATGACAACTGTTAAATCAGCCATGTTTTTTCTTATGGACCCTGCGCTCCGAGCTAGTTACAAAAGCCATGTCACATTGGTACAGCCTCTAAATGTTTTATTGTTGTCATGACAACTGTTCAGCCATGTTTTTTCTTATGGACCCTGCGCTTCGAGCTGGTGACAAAAGCCATGTCACACACGTCACATTGGTACAGCCTCTAGATGTTTTATTGTTGTCATGACAACCGTTCAGCCATGTTTTTTCTTATGGACCCTGCGCTCCGAGCTGGTGACAAAAGCCATGTCACACACGTCACACTTGTACGGCCTCTCACCAGTGTGGTACTTCCTCTTGTGTACGTGTAGCTGGGAGTTGGTGACGCAGGCCACATCGCACTGGTCACACTTGTACGGCATTTCTCCCGTATGCTTTCTCAGGTGCACCTTCAGGACGGAGCTTGTCACGTAACACTGACCACATATGTTGCATTTGTACGGTTTTTCACCTGTATGTTTGCGCAGGTGGACTTTGAGTTGTGAACTGGTGAAACAGCCGGTTCCGCAGACCTCACACTTGTAAGGCTGTTCACCGGTGTGTTTTCTCAGGTGGACTTTTAACATGGAGCTGGTGACGCACCCCTTCCCACACACCTCACACTTGTATGGGTTCTCACCTGTGTGTTTCCTCTTGTGCACCTTGAGCACGGAGCTCGTCACACAGCTCACCTCACATACGTCACACTTATACGGCTTGGCCCCGCTGTGCTTGCGCAGGTGGACCTTCAACTTAGTGCTGGTCACAAAACCCATGTTACACTCATCACAGCAGTACGGTTTGACCACTGAATGTTTTCTTTTATGCCGGGCTAGTACGGAACTCGTCACACACGCCACACCACAGATATCACACTTGTACGGCCTCTCCCCCGTATGTTTCCTCATGTGAATTTTAAGCTCGCAGCTCGTGAAACAAGCAGTAGTGCAATGCTCACATTTAAACTGCCGCTCCCCAAAATGACGTTTTTCATGCGTCTTGCGCTGGTAGCTTTTATAAAAGGCTTTGTCGCACACGTTACATTTGAAAGGTTTTACCCCAGAGTGTTTCAAGATATGGGCCTTCAGAGAACACTTCTTTACAAATTCTTCACTGCACAGATGGCACTTATAGTTCTTCAATCCCAGGTGTTTAGAAATGTGGGCAGTGATGGTCACTCGGTTGGCAAATTCTCTTCCACAGTCCATGCACTTAAATATCCTCTTGGGTTTGTTGTGTTTTTTGCTGTGTATAAATAAAGAATACTTCATCGAGAAAGTCCGGCTGCAAATGTTACACTTATATGGTTTTTCCCTGGCTTTCTTCTGCTGAAACACCATCTGCTTAGAATTACCATTTTCTGTCTTTTTTTGTGCGCTGTGAAATTTTTTATTTTTAGTGGGCTTGTTCAAGCTTAGCCTCATGAAAGAGTTTTTCTTGACGTGGTTCTTCAGGTGTTTCTGGAGCTCCGTGATGCAGAAGAACACCACACAACAGTCATAGCATTTAAAAATTTTCTGGCCCGAGTTACGGAACTTTGAATTGACAAAATAGTTGCAACAACTGAAATTACACTCTGTATTTTTGACGGTGTTCTGTTTAAAATAGCTTCGAGGGGAGTTACAACTCCTGGCCATATTCTGTCTACGGCTTGAGGGTCTTACGTTAACACCTCCCTCGCAGGAACCCACGCCAAATATGAATTCCGTGCACACAACATCAGGTGAATTAGTGAGTGTGTCAGAGAAGTAACAGGGCAGATGAATGTTGTCCGCGTCGTTGTGTGCGCTGGCTGTGTCAGGGATGCCATCTGGCAGAAGAAAGTTGCTGGGCGTACAGGGCGCCAGGCTGTAGTCAGTCAAGCACGTCTCCGCTGTATCTTCCACTTCCTCTTTGATTTCTGTCAGGAAATTGGGCTGTGCTGCTAAATCCATGGTGTTTCTCTACACAAGAACTTGCACCTAATGTTTGTTTTAAATCACTAATCCATATTGTTACCCAGTAGTGGTGACCAGTGAGAAGATAGCTTTGTAGTTACAAATTATCTGAAAAGAGAAGTATAACTTAAATTAGGTAGATTCATTGAACATTATATGTTAATTTAAAATGTATATATCTTTTTATCTAGGCAATAGCAAAGTGATTCTAAGTGTCTTCTTTCTTGCTATAAGTGTTAAATATTCTTCTTATAAATTGGATGTTGTTGTAGGAATATCAATTCAACATTCAGGTTCTCATGACAAAATAGGATGTTTATTATGGGAGGTTAAAACGTAGTGTTTGGGTGGGGAAAATATACTGTATGCTCTCTTATTGCTTTTAAGTTAAAAGCATAGATAAGTAAAAATAAGTCCATTTGTTACACCTGCTGTTACAATCATTAACTATGATGCTGCTATATGTACAGTTACATTACAACCCTGAAAGCTTGATGTAATTATTTAAATTAGAAACAAAATTTAAGTTTAATTGATAAAAGTGCTAAAAATAAAGTAGCATAATAAAATAATAATTTCTAGGCCTGCACCTAAATTTAAATTTTTAATTTTATTTCATCATTGGATAAGATCTAGCTGTACATTTTAAATCAACAATTATTTTTTTAGGTTACTCTTTAAGATGTGAGAAAGAGTTTAAAAACTTGATGCAAGATGACTGAGATACAGGAGGTCTTCCTTGAACAATGCCAAGCTTTTACCATCCGGATGATTCCCCCATCCCATCCTCAGATAAACCTAGGCTCCATAAAATGACATCACTCTTCAGTCATGTACCCTATCCACCCCCACCCCCTGCAAAATTAATCTTTTAGTTTTTAAAGCAGCTTTTTCTTTCTAGAATATATCTCAAGCTCTGCCAAAGCAAACATTTATATTGATTAATTTGTTATGAAATTCACAAAAAATGTTCTCTAAAAACTTGACGCAATCGCTAATTACCAAAGTCAGCTGGCAATAGCAGTATTAGGGTTATATAGGAATAACACTAATCTGGCTATTCGCAACCATATCCTGCATATACAATTGGGGATAATATCTTAAAATAACAATAGTATTTATTGTGACTAGAGTATGAGGTAGATTTAGGCTAGAGAGCAGCGCTACTTTTTATTGTTTTATATTTATCAGAAAAAGTATTGAGGTTTAAGATTATCATTATGTTCATATTTGCTTACTACTACATAAATGATTAATGCACTATTAACTACTTAAACTTAAAGTAATTACTAATTATGGATGGTTAAAAATAAAATGTAAATTTGCAACCAGCTGTATAGCTTTGGTTACGGGTCTTCTTGGTCGCACTAATAAACACTATAAATTCTTTTACAATAACTACACAGATCACCCGAATGATCCTAGTATTTTCTAATTCTGTAAATCGCTATAGCTATTTACAGAATTAGAAAATGAGTATAAGTATTGTCGAGTAGTGAGTGGGCTACAATTAATTAATCAGTAGCTGAGTAGGCCTAACTGCCTAACCGATAAATTAAATGTCATATTATTATTAAATGATAAATCCATGAGAGTAAATTCTCCTGGTCTACTCATAATAATAATACTATCAATAATAAAATAATAAATAATTAATAATAGGCCCTAAACTAATGCTAAACTATTTTTGATAAATAATGAAATAGCCGCATTTGCGCAGATCGCTCTGCTGTCCATCAAATCTTCTTTCTAGGTAGCACGTGACCTAAAATTATATATCAGGACTGCCCGGTTTTTTTTTCGTCTTCTTAGCATTTCAATATTGACATAAAGTTTAAGTGTTTTATTCAATATCTAAGGTAAGCGCAGGTTAAAATAAGAATAGAATTGGAATCTAGATCTAGTCTCACAGATGTTCTTTAGTAAAAACTTTTTACCGCTACCTAGAATGTGTGGTAGTAGATGTAGATCTAAGTCTATAAGCCTATGTGAACTTAAAAGAAAAATGACAAGAACTAGGTTTGTTTTCAATTTGCTTGAATGGGGAGAGGGGTGGAGAGAGAGAGGGAGAGAAGTGAAGACACCGATGATCTCAAATAGAACTTGTGTTATTCTGTGACGTATGACTATAGGCTTGCTGAACTCACAGTGACACCACTGACGGCGGTTTGATTTTTCAAGCGCGAAGTAGAAAACGTAAGCAAGCAATCATGCGAGTGCCAAAGTTTGGAAATTTGATAAAAGTTTTAAAAAAAATAAAAAATAAACAATTCACACTTGACGTTTAAAACATAAATTGTCAAAATGCACAGTATACCTGTCGTGCAAACCCCGGGTTCGATCTTGGAGCTACACGGCTATGAACTAAGCTACCACACTGTTGACTCTACCACGCCCAATGAGCTAGTAAACAAAATATTAAGCTTTTTTAATCAGCAGTTGGCAAATCCCAAAATTTTAGAATGCATTCTACAGAATTCAAATAATACTCGGAACGCTCGGCGATCCATGTAGTCACTTCCTAATAGAAAAATATCAATCATACTCTGCAAACTACAATATCAAATTCTAGATCGAGGCCTCGGCAGCTATTCGTTGTCTGTTGCTGCACAAGTAGAGTACAAGTGTAGTGCACTCTCTTTCTGCCTGTAAATTTAGATCTAGATCTAGTAGATATCTAGATCTAATTGACACTAATTACCCTAATTAGTAATTGTAGATCTAGTCTCCGAGGCTGAACTGTTCAACAGAGAAAGACTGAAAGAAAACTAGGGCTAGATTCTTAGATACTAGATCTACTACTCTACTAGCTTTCTAGATCTAGATCTAGACCTAGACTTGACTTAGAAGTTAGACTGAGTACACTCCGTAACTGTAAATTTTTTGTGAGATTCAAACATTGATTCTACTGTCACTACTGTACTTTCTAGCTCAATTCTTCTAATTCTAAAATCTAATCTAAGTACTAACTCTACGTACTAAACTATGTAGGCCCTACTATGTATTATGTATGGAATTTAGAATCAGAAAGTACAATTTAAAAGTATTGTTTTGCCCTCACCAAAAACCAAAAGCAAGATCTAGCCTAGAATCTAGAATCCTAGATTTAGAACATCTATATTTTCATCTTACAGTCGTCAACAATATTATTATTATTATTTTATTTTTACTTCCGGTTCACTTACACAAAGATCTACTTCCTTAACCGGCTTTTGTCTAAAAATATAAACAACATTTTAAAACTGAAACTATTATAAATTATTAAATTACCTTAACTTATTGTTTCTATTGTAAAATAAGGCTTAATTAATGTTTTATCTGCAGCTAATGGCTAATCAAAGATTTTGTTTTCTGTGGGTTGAATGAGAGGAGGTAAAGATCTAAAGAGGTTCGACGGTTCAGGCAGAATTCGAATAAAATATTTAATTCAAAATACATAAACTCAAAAAAGTATTGGAAGAGAGGGCAGAGGCGTAGCGACGGGTGGGGGTACATATGTCCCCGTGCGCCGACCCTAGGGGACACTGAAATGAGCTCATTTTAGCTGCTATTTTGAATTATAAATATAAAAAAAAATACATGGGGGGAGGGAACGCCAAATTGAGTTTGTCCCCGGGCACCGGGAGGGGTCGCTACGCATCACAATAGACAATAACTTCTTTTCGCATGATTTTTTTTTTTATAAATGTCGATGAAACAGTGCAGAACGATGGAGGTCAAAAAGATGAAGGTGATACTGCACTTATTAATGAGAGCTGTGTGATTTGTTTAAAATTAGTTGAGCAATCTCTGCCTTCTTCTTGTTGGCGGGCAAAACTCACACCACAATTCTTCAATTTTCATTTTTTAATAAATATTTTTCAACATAGTCTCATGTAATGGTTTCATGTTATGGTTTTATGTTTGTTGTCTCATGTTGTGGTCTGATCTTGTGGTTCATATTGTGGTCCCATGTTGTTGTCTCATGTTGTTATTTCATGTGGTGGTCTGATCTCTTATTCATGTTGTGGTCCCATGTTGTTCATGTTGTGGTCTGATCTCTTGTTCATGTTGTGGTCCCATGTTGTGGTCTCATGTTGTGGTCTCATGTTGTGGTCCCATGTTTTTGTCTGATGTTGTTGTCCATGTTGTGGTCGGATCTCTTGTTCATGTTGTGGTCCCATGTTGTTGTTCATGTTGTGGTCCCATGTTGTTGTCTCATATTGTGGTCTGATCTCTTGTTCATGTTGTGGTCCCATGTTGTGGTATAATGTTGTGGTCTCATGTTGTGGTCCCATGTTGTGGTCCCATGTTGTTGTCTCATATTGTGGTCTGATCTCTTGTTCATTATGTGGTTCCATATTGTGGTCCCATGTTGTGGTCCCATGTTGTGGCCCCATGTTGTGGTCCCATGTTGTGGCCCCATGTTGTGGTCTGAACTCTTGTTCATGTTGTGGTCTGATCTTGTGGTCCCATGTTGTGGTCTCATGTTGTGGTCTGGTCTCTTGTTCATGTTGTGATCTTCATTCTAAAATAACAGTAAAGAGGATGTGAACATATGCAGCTATTTAACTAACGTGGAATAAATAATTAAAGGGAGACCAGCGGTTACACTTTTCGGAATGTAAAGCTTTCATGAACAAATAGGAAACAATTTAGCTTAAAGTAAGATGTTATAGATTTAACTATTAAATTTATTATTGTTTCAAAATACGTATATCAAGAAGTTTTGATTTCCAATAGGGCATATTCAAATTAATAAAAACGTAATATTAGAGGCTGTTTAAATATTAATATATGTTTTATTTTATAAATTATTTTAAATCTTCAATGAATGTTTTGTTTCTCATTTATCTCAAAAATATAGCTCAACTTAAAAGCTTTTATTAATGCCCCAACCCATTCCACAAAAAAGACACCGTTATTTGTATTTTTACTTTCTTGTAACACAGAGTGTTGATGAAGTATTATCGTGCTGAATATTTAACATACATTTTGACAGTTTTCGCTGTTTTACACCATTTTACACCACATTTCCTTATCGCATACGTAATACTAATGATGTATCGTAATAGTGCAGGGGTCGGCAACCTGCGGCTCGCGAGCCGCATGAGGCTCTTCTGATGTCATTTATGCAGCTCTTCAGCTATGTGCAGAAATGTTAATATTTATTTTATTTTCAAAACTCATCAAAATATTGTTCTGCAACACTCGGTTATAAACGATAAAATAATAAACACTCGCTATTCTATTACAATATTTAGCTACTCCCCATATCCCAAATTGAAACATTTAACTTCATGGATATCACAAATAAACTAAACGAGCTTAATGTAAACTGAAAGGAATGGAAAACCTGTCTATGCCTTGCTAGAAGAAGATTGTTTCGAAAAAAAAATTACTTCATTTTGTTGAAGAAACGGAGAGCGGTAAAATTCTTTATTTCGAAAGAATATTGTGATAAAACCAATGCTACTATTAGCATAAATCATTTCAGCATTACTTTAAACAAAATGAAGAATGGGTTGACTAAGAGATTTGAGCTATTCTAAACAAATGCAAGTGCTCTAACGTTTATAGTAGATTTTCTCAACACAAAAACAAGTGAGATTAACTTTCAGCTATTTGGAATTGATGCTGTTTCATATCATATCAAATTGTTCGATTTGTAAACCAAACATTTGTGGAGAGGTAAGTTTACTGATATCAAGAGCAAGTTAGGACATTTAGAGGTCCAGAAAAACATGCACGTTTTGCTGCACAACTGGACAGCTCTAAATTAAATGCCGCGAGTTAAGGCACTCATATTTGACACATGGAATAGTCTTCCAGGATGCTACAGTGAGGTGAAGAAGTTGGCATTTGGAGTGCTGACGATCTTAGGGTCAACATATTCATGCGAGCAAGCGTTTTCTTGCATAAGTAAGAAGCCAATTAACAACAAATAAAAATCTAGAAGCGTGCTTGAAACTGAAAACAACATGGGAAATTTGGTAAATTGTGACTTTTGGCTCTTCCGTCTCAAAAGTTTGCCGACCCCTGTAATAGTGCAAACATTTAGTTGTGCAAGTTTGACCGTGGTTCTGTGTTGACGAAAAGTCCTATATGCGTTTAATATCAACTTTGTAGTTTTGTATATTATTTTCAGCTATCTCCAAGTACCCAAAGTAGTAGGCCTACTTACTCTACTTTCGGCTTCTCAAAAGCCAATAACTAGAGCACCGTTATAGATAGGTAGACGAAATTTCACAAGCACGTACTACAATTTAAGCGTAGGTATCTTGCAGCGTTTGAACGATTTTCGGTATACGGAAGTAGACTTTACTTTATTCCCACATCAACACTCTAAGTTGAGTACTGGGTCAGTAAATTAGACGAAATTTGATATACAAGTATAAGATCTTACACTTCAATTTCTTTCAATTTTTGAGTGACTTCTGATAACCGGAAGTTGTACTTCACTCTATTTCCGGTTTCTAAAATCCCGATACTTTGAGTACAGTTTCAGAAAAAAAAATTTATAGTAAATATAGTCGCGAAATCACATCTAAAAAAAAGTAAAGTTTCCCTTTCAAACCTGACGGTCTATGGGGCAAGTGAAGTAGAGTTCACATCTACGAAGATGAAAATGTGAACTGTTGATCATGGATGGTTGGTTTGCTGAAAGGTGTACATGATAGTTTTTTTAGCGATCGCAAGCTACTCATCTTGTTTTAAAGCGAACCCATACAAAGAGCTGAATGTGTTGAACAAAACATGAAACATGAACGTCTACACATTTCCATTGTGTAAACCTGATACAGTTGTTGTTTCATGAACGTGCTGCTGTGTTGATTACCAGTATCATGTTCTATTGCAGTTGGTACGACTCAATGCAGTATATCGACTGCGCAAAACATCTAACATATTGTATAACTGGGCTTACCGTATGCGGGTAATTAAATGAATCATATGTATGTCTCAAAGGTATGTGGATGGACATTAGCCAAGTTATTGGCATTTATTTGTGTACATACGTACTGGCAAGTGTCTTTTTGGAAAACATCCGGCTCCCATAAATTATACAATTTGTAAACCAAAATTAGATTTTCATTTTTATAAACGACTTATTCTATGAGTTAGTCTAAAACGTTAATAATTGAAGTGTTTACTAATTTAATTTGTTATTAAAATTTAACGTTACATAAAGTTACTTTCTTATCATGAGTTTATTTTCAGTGTAATCTAAACGTTGTAGACAATTACATTTGGTAGCGTCAGAAATGTCACATTTTTTTTACTAGACAGAGCATACCAAAACTAACCCAAAATGTTCGAGATTGATTCTACTAATCGAAGTCACTGTCGATTCAGCCAGTGGCGTAGCGGGGGGTGGGGGGGGGGGGGGGGGGGGTGGCGGTGAGGGTGAGGGTGCTCGGGTGCGGACCGCACCGGGTGACACCATTTAGGGCACCAGGAAGGGTCGCTACGCCTCTGGGGTGGTGACACCATTAAGTACCGCACCGGGTGACACCCGACCTCGCTACGCCACTGGATTTAGGTCTGAGAGTTGCTGACAGGGTCCACACCATGGAATCTTCTAGATGTAATCCGCACCACGCACGGCTGATGTAAGAGAAACATAAATGTTTATATACGTCTTCTCAATGACGTGTTATGTCTGTAAGAGATCTTTCAAAATATTCACAATACCTTAGGTAAGTCATTATGTATTCATATTCAAAGTAGGCATCAAAATATCATGGTGTTTCTGTTTTTAAATACGTATATTCGACGTGTGTCCGAATTATATTTAGCTTCTCATCTTAGCACAGACACGTGTTGTGTAAAAAAAGGTTTTAGAACCCCTGAGTTTAAACAAATGTGACTATCAGAACACAATGTTTTCACGATGACGTAGTTCCACGCAGGCAATATTGTGTGTACAGGGACTGTAGCCAGTGATAAAGATGTGGACACTTAAGATCTTTGTATACGTGGCTTTAGCTTTGGTAACTATCATTTTACAGAATATATATATATATATATATATATATATATATATATATATATATATATATATATATATATATATATATATATATGTGTGTGTGTGTGTGTGTGTGTATATGTGTGTGTGTGTGTTTTAAATGTATGTATTTAAATTTAGTTGTTTATGTGTGTTTAAAAGTAGTAAAGTAAAGTTTCCCTTTCAAACCTGACGGTCTATGGGGCAAGTGAAGTAGAGTTCACTTGTTTCTGTGACCTCTGCATATGAAGAGATAGTGTGGTCAGCACTATGCCCAGCCGCCTTTACTTTCCCTAACGTGAGTTAGGTACCCACCAGAGTTGGGTGGACTCAGGGACGGTCTACTGACTTGAACCCGGATTCGAACTCGAGACTTACTATGTGTGTTTAATAATGCTATAATGAAGCATTAATCGTCCTATTATACTTATCCTGCAGGAAAGTCGGTGTGAGGCAACTACCGATCATGTGGATATCTATCTGTGTAACCACTATGAAGACATGAATTTTGTTGGAGACTTGGCTATAAGTTTGTATTTCGGGTTTTTGCCCACAAAATATATAGGCAAACCTCTGACTTGCACCGTTAACTTTATCAACCGTGACTCGTATTGGAGGGGCTTTTCCTTGAACATTCAGTAAGTTCAGGAAACTGTATAGAGATTTATTATATTCTATTATATGCAATCAAGTAACTATGGAGGATTGATAAGCCTATTTAAGATTTCACAGCGTGGATGAGAACTAGCGTTGTAATTAGGGTGTGGTTTACATCAATGTATGTGCAGGTGTGTATGTAGGCCGATTGTTATAACTGGGATTAGCATAGAATAGAAAACTAGGATAGAATATGGTTTAAATCTTAATAGTATTTATGGCCACACTACTATATTGTTTAATTGTAGATTAGATAGATCATAATAGCTGTAATAAGAATAACCCTTAGTGTATTTGATTGAACGTCCCCTTACTAGATACAAGTCAGAATAGCCTGTAGTTGTCCCAGTCGTAAAAAGTTCGAGTTAATGTATGCATAGGTCAAGCGCCCGCCCCTCGCGGGACTGCTGGGGTTAGGCAGGGTTTGGGTTACCTTAGGGTGAAGTTGGGGCCGTGCGAATGAATTAAGTTAGTTGAATGCTAGACTTGTTATCGTGTGGAAGTGTGTGTCTTGTGCTCCGTGGCAGAACTCTGTGCTAGTTTATTTCGTGTATTAAAAGTCTTAAAATCGTACGTGTGTTGGCGTTATTAAATCAAAGTTTAAACTGTTACCTCAACCCTCACTGCAGTCATCACCACCATCAAAACAAAGCACACAGATGACTACATAACACCTATGTATGAGTGTGTGTGCGGGGATGTATTACGAGAATTGTGAGAATGAACGTTAACTTGTACACCAGATAATATGCAATATGTAAATAGAGTAGAGTTCAATGGTATCTGTTAAACAACGCTTCTACCCACCAGATAAGCAAATAGAGTAGAGTTCAATGGTATCTGTGAAACAACGCTTATATCCATGAGACTTTCGTGTTAGTCGCCACATATTCATTATATGACAACTTCCTACTCTTTAAAAAAAATCAGATCTCTAATTAGATGAGTGCAATGTTTCGCTACTTTACGACACGAGTCTTGCTGTATAGGTGGAAGAGTATGGAGAATTCGTTGTGAGGAGGGGTGTTTGGCAGTTGCGGTTGTGTTAATGGAATCTTTGTTCAGGGAGATTTCGGCCATGACAAATGTGTGTGTGGGGGGGGGGGGGGAGGGGATGGACGGGGGGGGGGGGGGGGGTTTCAAGGCTGTTGGTGTGTGTGTGTAGGTCTAAACGGGTGATATGTGATAAAAATAGACCCTTTTTTAAGGTGATTGGGCGAGAGAGAGTTAATTTTGTGAGCGATCTTAAGCTGACAGAAATATATATATATATATATATATATATATATATATATATATATATATATATATATATATATATATATATATATATATATGATTGCGCTTATAATTACATTAAAGGACGATGGAAATTGGCTCTGGTAATGCCGACACATGTGACGAGACCCTACAGATCGGCAGAAATCTGTTTTGTGAGTCCCTGGTCGATTGCTATGTGGAGAAAAACGGCCGCCTCAACGAATGTGACACGTGGGTGGCGAGCAACGAAAACTTCACCATCCGGTACCACACGGAGAACTACCAAGCTCCACCGAAATTGAAGGTATGTGGCGGTTGTTGTGTTTAACTTGTCCGGTATCACACGGAGTACTACCCAAACTGAGGGTATGGGGCGGTTTGTTGTTGTGTTTAACTTGCCCGGTACTACACGGAGAACTACCCAAACTGAGGGTATGGGGCGGTTTGTTGTTGTGTTTAACTTGTCCGGTACCACACGGAGAACTACCCAAACTGAGGGTATGGGGCGGTTTGTTGTTGTGTTTAACTTGTCCGGTACCACACGGAGAACTACCCAAACTGAGGGTATGGGGCGGTTTGTTGTTGTGTTTAACTTGTCCGGTACCACACGGAGAACTACCCAAACTGTGGGTATGGGGCGGTTTGTTGTGTTTAACTTGTCCGGTACCACACGGAGAACTACCCAAACTGTGGGTATGGGGCGGTTTGATGATGAGAAAATCACTTAATTTTCCGATGTAATACAAAAAAGCCTCTGATTATTTTGCATTCGCATTTGAAAATATATTTCGGTATTTCTATTGAATTCATTAACAAATTCAACAATCAATTCAACATTGTATTGTTCCGGTATATATCACAAATCGGTGATATATTGTTTGTAATGTTTTTGTTTTATACAGCTACTTGCACCCTAACTTACCACATAAGTATAATCTATTTTCAGGCTGAGATTGAATCTGTTAATGTTTTACCAACTACGAAGTAGCTGATGAAAAACAATTTTTAATGACATTTGAAAACATTTGAAAGAGACAAACTATCAAAATTTTTGACATGTACCACTAGTGTGATGATATTGCCCTTATTGCTTCTGAGCGCTCTTTATTTGAAGTAACAATAAAAATTAAAGCAGTTAATCTTTCTAAACTGAAAATCGTAATAATTTATGAGAAAACGTTTGCAAATGTACATTTGAAAAATTATCTTCAATGAGACTAAATGTCTGTTTTATTTCAATACCTTATTTCTCAATACCAATTTTGATTAGCTTTTTAATTTAGAACACCACTATGTGTTTTTTACTATAATCTTCGAGTAAATATTTTGAAAAGTGTAGTTTGAGAAAGTTTGTTCTTTTTGTGTTTCATAGTTTCTAATAATTGTAACAAACTCAGTGTCCTTAATTCCACATGTATATCTTTGTTAATATTTTTGCAAATCTAAAAGTTGACAACAAATCATATTTTTCAACACTATTGATTTAGAATCTAAATGGTTATAATTATGAAATACATCTAATCTGTACAAGGAACCAAAACTCCCAATAAACCATTTTTTAATAATGTCCACAACAGTGTAATAAATACAAGGTAATTCCTAAATAGTCATCTGCATAGTCAGTCATCGTTCTTGACAACTTGTTTAATGGAGTCAGTTAAGTGCCGATGAGAGATCGGGGGTCTTAACACAAAAAAAAAACAAGAGGCTAATATCGAAATGGCACAGAGTTGTACATATTCCTTTTATTTTTTACTGCACAATGTCCCGGAGGAATAGCAGGAACAAAATACTTAAGTCCAGATAAAAGCGATTAAATACAGGATTTAAATAACAAAGTGTTTAATAGCGAATATTTACACTTTGTAAATAGACTGGAGACAGCAACTCTTCTAGAAGAGAGAACTCAAAATTCAAATCAAACAGCTACTGCCTTGTAGTTTGTTCTTGGTTGGACAAAGGTTATGGAAGAAAATCCTGAAAGAAAAGCAGCTGAAATCGGAGTCAACGGCATAACAAGTTGACACGTAATACTTATTTGTGCTGGACGGAATCCTTTCCAACACTAATATTAAGAACGAAGGAGAAGAAGACATAAATATTTTATATCAACAATAATCAAATAATAATTTGGTGTAAATATTTTATTTTGTATTAATAATTAATTATTGAATTAAAGTCATTTTAACATAAATAAAAATAATCTTTTTTCAAATAAGAAATCCAAGACAAAAAATTCCGATTTAAATAAAAGTAAAATGTAAATAAACATGAATAGTTTTTATTGTTCATTAAATATTGAAACTTTAGTTTAATAGTGAAAATCATAAATATATGAATGTGAATCAAATATTTTCCATTTTAAATTACTGCATTCATTATTAAAAAATTATTCGTCACAAAAAGTAATTAGCTTCACAATTTAGCTTTATTGTTTTATCTTTAACAACAAAATAAATATAGATTATAGAAAATAACACACACGTGCAACCTAATATTTGAAAAATGTTTTAGGTAATATAAATAAATTTTTAAATACATATCACCATATACAGCTTAAAAATTCTAAAAAAATTATTGCAGAAAAAAATGCACCTTACGTTAAGGTACATGGAAATACAACGGTTTAAGTAAAATTAAAAGAAAATACATTTGTACAGAATGGTTATCAAGTACCGTCGTATAATTTAACCTACATTTTCAATTCCAGTAAAATGTTATTCCATCATTCTATAACTATTCCTACATGGAAAAATTAACGTTTAACCAGAATGATAAAATTTAGTTTTTACTATTTACAAATGGACTTGCTGATAGCCTTCCCCACTGCAATTAATCTTACCCTTACATCCACTGTGGACATGAGGTACCAGCAAGGTGTCGCTAGAGAAAACATAAGCCCCGCTACTTCCTGGACATGTACTCATCTCATACGTGTACTTGGTACATCTGTACCACTCATGGGACTTCTGGATGTGTTGCTTCTCATATGTTCCTATAGAGACTTGCTTAGAGCAGCCGTGTGGATGGGAAACTATAAAGGACACGCCTTCTTCAAACTTGTGTGGACAATACAGGTAACTGTTGTACATTTTCTGGACTTTCTCGTACAATTCCATGTCATGTGAGGCACAAGAAAATCTGCAGGTGTCTCCCTTGATGCTCATGTCCCACATTCTCCAGCCATCTAACGTCACAACTGGACTGTCCGTCTGGTCAAAGAACAGCCTGCATGTGGCACTCTCAGCCTCGCTGTCGTCAAACACCACGTGGGTGGCTGTCATCACACCCACACTCCACCAGGTGCTTTGTGGAGTGTCTGAATCCTTACACCCCTTACATTGACATGTGTTACCTTCTTCATCTTGATATTTAGAGATGCCGGTAATCATACCTGTTCCAGTTCTTATGCAAGTTTTACCTCTCAAATGCGAGCAAGGGTAAGGAGCATTTGTATCTGGTACAAATGAGGGTCTCTTAATACTTGTATAGGGGACAGCTATCCTTACGGTTAGATCTCCTGTAAACTTGATCATGTTATACAGTTCGTCAATGCTGTTTGTGATAGTGATATGTTCAACGCTGAAATCTTTTAATGGAATAAAACCTGTGTGGTCTGGATCTTTTTTACATGTTGTCAAGTATGTTGCCAGACTGCCTTCATCCTCTCCTGGTTGACACTCCATAACTTCGTGTTGCTCTTTAAGTAAGTAAAACAAATAAAGACAGATAATATAAGGATCTCACTGACCACAATTTTAGTGCAGAGTTTACCATTCCAAATAACTAGGCATGCTGCCCAGCTTCGCTTAGGTTTTCGAAAACATTGAGAATTTGAATGCTTAATTAATTCGCCCGAGGGTCGGTCTACGACCTCAGGAGTTATGAAGAGGTTCCTACGTGGACATTTTTTTTCGATTTATAGCTCATATAAGGCGCCAGTCAGTCGAGGTCAGTTTTGACCCCCTCATCGTAGACTTTTCGGCCAACCGGCCCCGTGTTCTATCGCCCCAAGGCAAGATCCTGCCAAATTTGAAACGCCTGCGGCGCCGGGAACTGCCTTATCGGGCACCCGACAACTTAGCTTTATATATTTATAGAGATTAGCAAATTGCATAGATAAACAAAGATTTCCCAAGTAGTTCCTTTCTTTATATTCTAAAATAGGAAGATTCACATATTTAAAAAAATTAGGTTTGACTTGGTGTGTCTCGATCCAGCACCACCTGTGTGGTATCAAGTACACTATTATCTCAGCTAATTAGGTACCTTTTAATATATGGAGAATAAAAGAAGTGTTTTAAAAAAATAACTTACGCGAATATGCCTATTTTTTCAAATTATTTTTTTACCCATAATTAGCCAGTTTCATTGCTAAACAAACAAAGATTTCTATAAAATATTTAAGTCCTGAAAAAGTTTATTATAGAAATTTATTTTTGGAATAGATTCTACAGTAGATAAAGTCTAAATATAGATCTAGAATAGATCTTAGCGACGTAGCGTCTACGTCTAGTTTTTGCGTAGATTTAGATCTAGTCTAGATCTAGAATCTCTAGATCTAGAATCCAAATAGATAAAATAATTTTTTTAAGTTTAGGCCGAGAAAATCGTATTGTATACATTTCATAGCTCTAAATCATATTTGAATGAAATAGTTCATTTCTTTTTATTCTAAACTCGGAAGATGACATCATCAGTTTCGTGCTTTTTTTTTTAGTGTAAACAATAAGCGACGTCATTATTAAATGTGTTCTTGTCCCAAGTTTAAACACTTTTCCGTTTGCATAATTAAAATTGTTTCTCTACATTCGAATTCGCCTTTATTTTTTATTTTTCTTCTTTAAATAAAATTGTGGTTATACATTTAAAACATCTAACATATTATTTTCAACAAAAGTCCGTATAAAGTACTTCATATATCGCTGCAGTTTCTGATGTGATGTCCGGCGAAAAATTTTGCGGACAGACAGAGAGAGAGAGAGAGAAGAGCGCACAGGGTCTTTTATATATTAGGATGTCATGGACAAATAACCTCAGACAAAATATATCAATATATTTTTTAAAAGGTAATTGGGTCTTCAAGTTCGTTACATAAAACAAATGTTTTTATTCCATCATCGTCACAATCGTAACGCTAACGTTCCTTTTCTAACTTAATAAAAGTGCAGAAGCCTTTCTGCGATGTATAAAAATCCCTGCCATATCTGGGTAATCATCACTAATACTGTTTTGTTTGTATGCACACAATGACCACTGTTGATTAAATAAGCAGTTTATTTTACCTATCACTAAAGCAAAGTTTATCGAACCTGACGGTCCAAAGGGCAGTTGATTTACTTGTTTTTGTCACCTCGGCATATAAGAGATAGTGTGGTCAGCACTATGCCCAGCCGCCTTTACTTTCCGTAATGTGCGTCAAGTACCCATCAGTTGAGTGGACTTGGGGAAATTCTACTGACTTGAACCCGGATACAAACTGGAGACTTTATGGTTAGTAATCTAGTGATCTACCGATGGGCCACGCGTCGATCACTAAGGTATGACCGATATATAACTGTTGTCTTTAGATGATAGTTGTATTGTCTAAGGAGAACGGATGTTTTCTCAGTCTCCGTCAACAAAGCAAGCGGCCACCTCACAACGAAGGTGTTTTCACAGCGCTTCCATTAACAGATGAGCGATTCCATTTCATCTATTTTCGTCCACCTAATGTTCTAGATTGTCTATTTAAAGACAAGCCTAATTTACTAATTTAATTTTAAAATGTTTAACGTAATGCAACAAACCTTTTCTCATAAATATTATGTGTAAATAAAGTAAATCAAAACCATATGATTATTAATGTAAAAATGTTCAAATCGACTAATATCATTATCCTATTTTTTGTAAGTTATTTTGTCTACGATATTTTGCCTGAGGTAATTTGTCTGATATACTTTGTGGTTGAGATTATTTGTCCGTGAAATATTTTGTCTGGGATATTTTGTCTAAGATAATATGTCCTGTCACCATATATTTATTTATTTTGTGATTAATTTATTTATTCGCCTCGATTATGTAATTCGGCATAGCTTCGGCTTTAATTTACCAATTTTTCTTAGTTTCAAGGCAAGTAAATAAAGAAATTAGGCCTAAATGTTTGTTTCAATACACATTAATGCATTTATTTATGTAATTAACCTACATACTTTATAACAATGTATTTCAATTACAACCAAGAACAAACTACAAGGCAGCAATTGTTTGATTTTGGAGTTGTCTCTCCTAGAAGAGTGGCTGTCCCCAGCTAACGAGCCTCATCTGCCCGAT